GAGTAGTATGTGAGATTGTTGCTAAATGTTATTAACGTTTAGGTTGAGGGAAACACCCAGTAACCTGGTGAATGTTGGATACATGGTACATTCGTCAAAATTAATATAAACTACACACAGCTGTATGTCAAAAACAAATTAAAACGGATTAAAAATATTTAAAAACGAAAGTTAAAATTAAATCGTGAACTACCTGATGCTGCACAAAAAAAGCGTGCAGCATCAGGTGGAGATTATTAAAGTATAAATTTTGTCAAAGTACCCAACAAAAGGCGGAAGCTTTACATATACGTGGTGTCCCGAAAAAAGTGTGCAATATTCTACCAGCGCTTTCTAGAGCTTAAAATAGGAAGAAAAGTTTACATAAACATAGGTCGTCAAGTCAAACGTCCCCAGTCTTTTAAAGGGGCTCCCCTGAAGATGGTTTTTCCTTAATATTTCCGAAACGTGTTGAGATACAGACATAAAATTTGGTATTCTAGCCTAGTTCTTTATGCTGAATTTAAAAATATTAACAACTTTCGACAGTTTTGTTTGGAAGCGTATGTAACAGGGACGGACTCAGGTTATTTTAGCCCCAACATTTTTGTGTGATTCTATTTTTGAAATTCAATTTTAGAATTTGAAAATTTAGGATTTTCTACATAGAAAAGATACTCTTATTGAATATCGATAAATTGTGCCACATTTGAATAAAATCAAACTAAAAAATTTGTCACATGATAGGAAATAAACTGCGAATTTAAATGAATTGTTGAATAATTAGCCATGGCAATGAAAAAACTAATTTAATAATTGGTCAATATTACACAAATACATATATTTCTATTCCAACATAGCTAACATTTAGGCAAAAACAACAGAAATACATTTTTTCTACGAACGAAATTGAAATTTGTTTATAAAAGAAGACATACAGTTGGATATACTTGAAACTAGCTTTACAATAAGTGTTCAAATAAATTCCCATTTTGTTGGATACAGAGTCTCGCTTGACGAACTAATGATTGCGTAGCCCGAAAAGTGGAAAACCTTTTTCTTCTTATTTCATTTGCAGCCTGATGGATTTTTTGAAGTAAATCTTCTTGAGTATTTACTTCAGTCGAGTAAACTAGGTCTTTCAATGACCCCAAAAATAGAAATCCAATAGCTTTAGGTCAGGTGAACGTGGCGGCCACGCTATAGGACCTCCTCGGCCTACCAACTGCCTGGAAAATTGACATTCAACCAATTTCGAACATTGCGTCCAAAATGTGCAGGGGTGCCATCATGTTGAAAAAACATATTTTCTTGAAACTGCTGGCGCACATCCAATGGTATTATATCCATGAGCTCATTCTAAAGAAAGTTCAGATTGATACACCTCTGAATTAAGACGATTGGGAAGTACAATAGGCCCAATTACTCCTGCCCATAAGTTCAATGAAAATCTTTGTTGGAAATTTGTACGGCGAACAACTTTTGGATGTTCATCTGACCAGTAATGCATGTTATGGAAATTAAAAGCACCATTCCTAGTAAATATTGACTCATCCGACCATAATATTCTAGGAATAGTGTTTTCATTTGCTAATATCCACTGGCAAAACTCGATTCGTGGTAAAAAATCTGCCACCGTTACATGCTGCACCCGTTTAAAATAATAAGGATATAATCCTTGCATTCTTGTCATTCTTCCTATCTAAAATTATTATTTTTAGGATAACTATCAAATAGTTATTCATAAATTTTTCTTACTATTGATCGAGGTATATCAATAATTTTTGAAACATTCCGTATGCTTTTTTGCGGATTATTTTCAAACATATTTAAAGCAATATCCATACGATGATTTCCCAGTGGCCTTCCTGACCCCTGCATGCGCTGAAAACCATGGTTTGACAAATTCCGGTTAATATCAGTACCTAAACATTCAGCGTCCAGGTACTATGCCCGTACACAAAATGCATATCAGTCAGTTCTCTGTCTCTAAATCTTGGCATTTTAAATCGATTTAATAAACATTTTGATTTTAATCTAGCAATTTTACACTGCCAACAATATTAGCTTAAGGTCAAAATAAGTCATAATAAATCGAAACAACTTTTCTTTGCAGTCATGGCTAACTATGTATAATCAACAATTCATTTAAATTCGCAGTACATTTCCTATCATGTGACAAATAGTTTGTTAGTTTGATTTTATTCAAAAATGGCACGGTATATCGATATTCAATAAGAGTACATTTTTTATGTAGAAAAGCCTAAATTTTCAAATTCTAAAATTGAATTTAAAAAATGGAATCACACAAACATTTTGGGGCTTTATCTCAACACGTTTCGGAAATATTAAGGAAAAACCATCTTCAGGGGAGCCCCTTTAAATAAATAATATTTTTATATAAACTTTTCTTCCTATTCCTATTTCTTCCTATTTTAAGCTCTAGAAACCGCTGGTAGAAAATTGTACACTTTTTTTAGGACACACTGTATATATATATATATATATCTTTTTACACACATTGTACTCACAAGGTCTTCCATAACGACAGGATAGGTCGATGTTAACATAAAAAGCAGTAAATTCCTTTCCAGATTAAACAAAAAAGCAAATTGTGTCATTAACTTTTGAGGTTCAGAATATAATCGTGCTTTCTTAAAGCTCTGATTTGCCTGTATCATAGTTTAAAAAAGCAAAAAGGTTCTAGATATACTGAAAACCTTAGGGGGTTGAACTCATTCATTATAACGGAGTCTTGCGACCATCTTTCAGATGTCGATCAAAAATTTTGTCTTCCTAATTAACGGATACCACCATATCGAGCTCCACTTAGGGTGATGAGCACCAGTCAAGAATATTCAAAACTAAATTAGTATGTTGCTAGACACATATGGAATTAGTATGCGAATGTAGTGGAACAATGTAGCTTCAGTATTCAAAATACCATCACGTATATAGAACCCCTAAAGTCACTTACTACTTGATCACTTATTTGAGCATTGCCACTTGTTCAATTTCATTGCAGTTTTTGAGTGACAAAATAAACATGCTGCTTTTGTCTGTTCGACAAAAGACCATGGATATATGTTTCGTGCTTTTTGGAAACTCATCAGTATTGTCTGCGCTTCGTCTCTAGGTCAACGAATGAAAACATAGTAATTATTCCTCTCCAGTTCCAACATACCTGTATAGCTACTAAACACTCTCTAGCTATGTTTTCGTTTGTTGATTCAGACACGAACCCTAGACTATTATGATGAGATGTCAAAAAACTCTAAACAGCTATCATTATACTTAATAATTTTTTCCTAGATTGAACAGAAAAGGAAAATTTTGTGCTCAGCTCTTGCACCAGGTGATCATATTGCTACTAGCCTCTTCCAACTAATGACTTGCTCCCTTGATCATACGGGAATCAAAAATACTTCTAGATGTACGAAAAATGTTAACATATTTCCTTATCTATTATTTATCTCTAAGACTATACAAGAATATGATAGTATAGATCCCTATGGTGCAAAATGTTTTAATTTCCTTCGTCAGTTTTGTAGGAATCTCTACGACAGGGCTTTCAAAAAGACTAAAAATATACCTTCTAACCAAAGCTTTCTATAGCTTAGATGAATTCTCATAAATGATTTTAGTACATGACCTTAGCTATAGATAGTGCGAAAAATGAACAGAATCAGCCTTACATGTTTCATGTGAGTGGGAGGCGCTGGATTACGAAAGACATCAAGTCTTCGGGAAACCAAAACTATAACCGAGGAAGTTTAGAACAGTACCGGCAGGAAAACTGTACCAACTGGAGCATAACACTAGATTGCTGGATTGGTAGTGTAAATTCGAGGGGCAGGGCAAAATAAGCCCTAGACAGTGGTCGCTAACCCGTTGATCGCGAGCTACCGGTAGACCTCAAAGGCAATTCTGGTGGTTCACAGCATATTTTAAGAAGGTGTAAAAATCATAGTAGCTTCCGTGAATTATGTAAATTCTCATAATAAACACAAGCAGCAGCAACACTGTGGTGAGCGATCTGTTCGAAAACGATCTGGGTTACTTTGAACGGAATAAATACGCAACGCGCGGCAATAGTGCGCTCAGTTAAAAAGTGAACGGCACAAAGTCCAGCGACTGGGTTAGAGCTGGCCTGCAATGAGAAACACTATGAGCTTTATTAAGAAGATGAAAACATACCATTTCCATTCGGAAGAGGAAGAACAATATTTCTTAACAGAAGTTAAAAATAAAACTGTATGTTATATAATACACCTTTATAAATATAGAGAGGCACTATAAAACTGTACATTCGAATTTTGATAAATCATCCCCAATACGTTCGGCAACCAGAACGGAAAACTGAAACAATTAAAAAATCAGTTAATTGGACAACATGCAATGTTTTTAAAAACAATCGACAAAAGAAAGGCTGCAACTGAAGCATCATACCGGGTATCCCAGATAATTGCACAAAAAAAGAAACCTTATGAAGACGGGGAAATGATAAAACAGGCGTTTTTAGAAGCTACAGATGCATTGCTTGACAACTATAGAAATAAAGACGAGACAGTGTCTGGTATAAAATCTAGGCAACTTTCTGCTAATACAGTGATGAGAAAAGTAGAAGTGATGAGCAATGATATAGTTTTACTGTTAAGAAAAAATAACTTCGATAACTGTGCTTGTTTTTCACTGCAGCTGGATGATACCACAGATGTCGTTGACACCTCTTAGATAGCCGTGTTCGCCATTGCGGTTTCTACTTATTTTACGATTAAAGAAGATCTTTTGAATTTTTTTCCACTAAAAGGACAGATTACTGCGCAGGACTTGTTTTCTTCTTTTAAAAATATTATTTATAAAATTCCAGTATCGAAAATGGTAGGCTTGACAAACGATGGCGGTCCAGCTATGGTCGTGATAAGGCTCTCGTGGGGTTATGTTGTAAAGATGAAAGTTTTCCGCAATTGCTCTGTTACCTCTGCAAATTGGTAGTAAAAATTGTGAACAAGATTAGAGCTCAAGTGTTACAAAGAAGATTATTCAAAACCTTAGCCGATAAAATCGACTGTCAATTCGGGGAACTACTTCTTCACTCTGACGTCTGATGATTAAGTAGGGGACGAGTGCTGAAACGTTTTAATGATATCATATCTGCCATAGTTCCATTTTTCAAACAACGTCATTAACCGATTCCGGAACTGGAAAAATCAATCTGGTTAGATATTTTGGTTTTCTTGTGAATATTACAGAAAAATTAAATGAACTTAATTTGCAGCTTCAGGGGAGAGAAAAAGAACTAGCAGAAATAATTTTTGATATAGTATCGTATTTCAAAAAGCTTGAGTTTTGGGAACAAAACTTTGTCGATGGCGATACCAGGCATTTTCCTGTTCTTTCAGAAAAGACATCTCAAAGTCCATTACAGAAATTATTATGTAGAAATAGTCTCTTACTTGAAGGATAACTTCAAAAATCGTTTCAAGGATTTCAACGAAATTGCTATAGTGGCGCCATTTGTTGTTTCACCCTTCACGGAAATTGATACCCAACAGCTTGCAACTTCTGTTACGCAGAATTTTAGCGAAGACATCGCTGCGACAGAAATGGAAGTGATTGCGCTTCAAAATGATTTAGCTTTAAAATCTAGCGTCGAATACAACATGTATCTGGCCCTTAGTAAGTAGTTTAGTAGTAAGTACCTTGCAAGTGACAGCGTTCTTTACTTCAACCTATTTTTGTGAATTTTCTTTTGCAAACATGAAGTTTATTAAAAACAAATACCGTAATCGACTTACAGATAAACATTTGGATAATTGTATTCGAATGGCGGTATCAAATTATACTTCAAACATTAAGCAAATTATCAGTGAGCTTGAGTTTGAACACGCATTTTTATCTGGACACGTTTTTGTTTAAAATAGTGTGTTGCTTTTTTATTCTTAATTACCTTTATTAAATTGTATGTGACATGCCACTGTAGCTGACGAAAAATTTTGTTTATTTTCCAAACACCTACGATTGGTAGGAATGGATGTATTAGTAGTTTATTAATATGTATTAGCATAAAATAAAGACATGTATGTCGCATACAACTGTGTATAATTGCATTTAAGTTAACTCACATTGCTTACGACTACGTAGCTCACTGTTCATCCCAAAATGATCAAAGTAGCTCAACACACTGAAAAGGTTGGCGACCACTGCCCTAGAGGTTACAGCGCCATCGCAGACTTAGGTCGGACGGCGCCTGGGAAGGATAGAAAAAACTTCAATACAACTGACTTGTGTCAGCACATTTTGTGTGATAACACGAATAAACTACTACTAATGTCACTACTATGCTTTCTGCTCACAGGGCGCCTCTGGCAATTGTCCGTATTACTACCACATGAAGCGCTGTGATAAAAAATGAATCCATGAAAACTTTTCTAGGTTACCAAATCTACTCGACACGATCAATAATTTATCAAATTTTCGTCCACAACAGTTAAGCATAGTTCCAACAAAAACGTTTCTCTTGCGTCATCTGTGAATGGCAGCAAATGCGGGCTTCCCGTAGGTCGGTTCCAAGCGGCATGCCGGTATGAACGGGAGTAAATCATTCGAGCAACAGGTCCGCACAGCCGCCTCCACGCTGCGCTGCCCCCGTTTCTTAACTCCTTGCCGCCACCGCCAGCTGCCACCGTGTTACTTCTTTACTCTAAACGGTTGGGGCTAGTGATGGGGTATTTATTTTGCAAGATCTCCAACGCCCTTTCAAGCTCGTTCCATCGTGTCATTGAGGGAGCATGCTAGGAATATAGTCAGGCCGAGAATACCGGGTGCTCCACGTGGTAGAACTACAGCTAAAGTTGGCGTAAGAAGTTATGGGCTTACACATGGAAATATCTTCCGGCACGGGTATTACGAATCTTGAAAAGTGACGTTATGTCGATTTTTTTGGCATTGTATTGGTTTTTTTTGTGATATTATGTAGGTTTTTATACAAGATTCTGCTCTTCTGATGTTAATTATATTGTTGATGTATTTTATGGCAACATTTTCCAAATTTTTGACAGGCACATGCCTCTGTATAAGGATTGCAGTCACCAATACCCGCCTTGGTTTCACTCAGCTATTATTAAAAACATTAAACTTAAAGCTAAATTTAGGAAAAAAATCAACAGGTCTGCTTTTGTTGATGATCTACAAGAATTCAAACGTTTGCGTCGTTTGATAAAAAACCAGATTAAATCAGCGTATGATCAATATATTGAAAATATCCAGAATTCTTTAACAATTAACCCCAATGCTTTTTGGTCATACGTTCACTCCAAAAACAACACATCACGAATCCCAGGGATAATGAAATTTCAAAATAATTCTATAGATCAGCCTCAGGATATAGTAAACGCATTCAGTGAGTTTTTCAGCAGCGTCTATGTCACTCACAAGCCCCATAATAATGCCTCACTAAATCATAGTAATTTATTTGTCCATTTTCATCCAATTGAGGAAAATGAAGTCAGGAAGGCCATTAAATCACTAAAGGATAAGATGACATCTGGTCTAGATGGCATCCCGTCCTTTATAGTCGAAGATTGTGTGGAAGTGTTTGTTGGTGTTCTAACTAGGATTTATCTTATAACAAAAAGATTTCCAGATATTTGGAAGATCGCTAAGGTCTGTCCAGCGTCTAAGTGTGGGGATAAGTCAAATATTGAGTATTACAAGGCAATCTCTATATTATGCATGTTCTCGAAAGTCTTTGAAATAGTCTTGTACAGTCGCATTTACACTGCCGTCCAGCGTCAGCTGTCATTGCATCAACACGGATTTGTCGCTAATCGCTCAACAACCACAAATTTATAATAATGCAGTACCTCTCGGAAGCCATTGATGGTAATGAGCAAGTTGACGTTATTTATACCGACTTTTCGAAGGCTTTCGATAAAATTAACCACAAAACCTTATTAAATAAGTTAGGTGCACTTGGTTTCACAGATGATGCTAGGGAGTTGATGAAATCTTACTTATCCGATCGTAGACAATTTGTTAGCTATAATGGCTTCCAATCTGAGACCTACTTGACACCTTCTGGAGTTCCTCAGGGGTCCAACCTGGGACCATTACTGTTTTTGATATTTATTAATGACCTCTGTGACTCAGTTTAATGTGAACGCCTATGCTTTGCTGACGACCTAAAAATTTATTCGCAGATAAATACTCCTAATGATTGTATCAAGCTACAACACCTATTAAATTTTGTGCTGTCTTGGTGTGTAGAAAACAACTTGGAGCTTAATGTGAGGAAGTGTAAAATAGTCAGCTATACCAGGAAAATTAATGTTTGCGAATATCCGTACTCTATTGATGGGTCTGTGCTAGAAAGATGCTCTGATGTACGTGATTTAGGTATAATCTATGATCAAAAGTTAACTTTTAGTCAGCATATAAATAAAAAAGCATCAGAAGCATTGGCGGCTTATGTTTTCATAGTAAGGAATTGAAGGAATTTTCATAATATAAAGTCTATTAAGCTATTATATTATGCTTATGTTAGATCCAAAGTCGAATATTGTAGTATTATTTGGAGCCCTTACTATGAATGCTATAGCACAGCTATTGAAAGAGTACAACGGAAGTTTATGAAGTTTGTTCTGTTTAGGATTGATGGGACATATCCAGAGAGAGGTACAAGTAATGAGGAACTATGTAGTCGCTTAGACATGTTGACTTTGAAAAAACATAGGTACTGTGCCTAAATAATATTTGGCTACAAAATGATCAACAATTTAATTGATTGCCCCTTGATCCTGGAACAGATCAAGTTTCGTACTCCAACGTTTGCATCTCGCAATCATAAAATATTTGGGCTTCCTAGAGCTAGGACAAACATTCTTCTCAAGTCACCGTTATATGTAATGTGCTCTAACTTAAACAGAATTGGATGTTACTGTGATATATTTACGACAAATGTTAATTACCTGCTAAAGGCAGCTAAGGCTTATTCGGACCAATAGCTCATGTTACAAATTTATACCTGTGTTGCATTTGTTGTTTTCTTTTCGCTTTTTTTTTGCTTTTGTATTATGTTTATAAATTGTCCTATAAATGGGAAACTGTTGGACAATAAAGCTATTATTATTATTATTAAGATGTAAACTTAGCACTAGCTGATGGACACGTTGTGAACTTGTTTTGTAGTTGTACGTGTTGCCTAAACGTCATGATGTTTCAGTTATCAATGTTTGGCTCTGATGTGATGTAAAATCTGCTTCAGAGATGGCATTTCTGGAGGTGTGAACTGTAAGTTGTATACTATAGCTGGAGAGATTGAGATGCCTTTGACATTTAATTCATAATCACAGGGAATGATGTCGAATCATTGTCTTGAAGATTTGGCTTTCCAGTATTACAACTCAGTTCGTGTTACAATGTGAATCCACAGTCTTCAACAAGAAAATATCTGAAACTTATTATGTGGTTTTCATATTGATAATCCGCTATGTTTATGTGGTCAATCAAACTACATTTTTAAGTTTCTTCTTTATTGTAGACGTTTCGGCGCCAGCGGTGACCTCTTCAAGTACAATCGACACTTTTTGAATTTAAGCGTCTTCCAGGTACACTTCGTTTGTTTGATCAACATGGCGGACATGTTTGCAAAGAAGGGGTTGACGGAACTCAAATGCAAGTTTTTTATGTTTTGGAGGTCACCGATATAGAAATGAATATCGATTTTCCCTAAATCAAAATGGCGGAGCTGCAGTCAGCTGCAGCCAAAATTGATATATTTTTTAAGCGGGTGTCTAATAAACATGCTAGAATTGAAATAGATGTTTTTTTCTAAACTCACTCTGAATTCACTAATTCAATATGAATGATGGAAAAATCATCAATCACAGATTATGTCATATCACGTCATGTGTCGATTGGCAAGTAATACATGCCATATCAAAGTTATACAGAGTGTTCCTTAACGATATGCGAATATTTAAGGGTGTGAATCTACCTGAAAAATGTTAGTTTGCTTTATAAACTATGGTCCAAAAATGTTTCCTTACAAAAACTCGGGGTGTTGAAGTTTTAGGAAAAAAATGGAAATTAATTAATATTTTCAGAACCGCTTCAGATATTTCACTGATATTTAGTACGTAGTGAAGGTTAATAAAATTGCATATTTTTCAATGCAAAAATAATTTTTAGCTTTAACAGTGGCGTGCGTACGGGTATTGACTTTGATGTTTTTCAAGAAAAAAATGGTACGCCAATGGTTTCTTGCCAAATAAAAAAGCACGATCGGGATATCTCTGGTGATAAATCCATTTGGCTTGCTCACCATTACCGTCGGAAAGGCCATATATGTAATGCATTTCCGCCCTTTCTGCATTTGAATAATTCACCATTATTGACAAGATTGTAAAAACTAAATAATGAAAATGATGTCACAGTGAACATATTTGAATAACTTGAGACTTGTCAGATGTCAAAAGCCAGTGACATATTCCAGAACAATTAGATATTCATTGCTAAATTCCATTCTTCAATTATTACATTAATTTGCTCGGACAATAGAACGGCTTTTATATTTTTTAGATTACATGAATTTTCTCGGAGAATAGAACGTTTTTTATTTTTTTACTCAAAAATGGCGCATCGAAGAAGAACAATTCGAGAGAGATCATTTGTTTTAAATTGAACG